GATTATTTCGTTTTGTGTAATTGTATTCTTCATCTGTGTCCCCGTGTTTTCTTCCGAGCACGAGGTTCCGTATTGAGCACTTTTCTTTGGTTCGTATTATTTAAGTTTCGTAAATTTAGTTTTTTTTTTTTTTTTTTTTTATCGATTATTTCGTATTGTGTCCCCGTGTCTCCTTTCGGGCACGAGGTTTTGCACTGAGCAGCTTTTCTTTGTTTTGTATTTAGATTTCGTAGGTTAAGGTTTTTTTTTTAGTACTATCGACTATCGTTTTTGTAACGATTATTTCGTGTTGTGTCCCCGTGTCTTCTGAGCACGAGGTTCCGTAGTGAGCAGGTTTTTATTTTTGTATTTTGATTTCTTAGATTTAGGGATTTATTTTTTTAGTACTTTCGTTTTTCGTATTGATTATTTCGAGCGGTGTAATTCTCTTTTTGCTGCAACGACGCAACAAACTCAACGTCGACGATGTCCTGGCAGCCCGGGTAAGTGACCCCTTTATTACTTGACTTTCGAGCACGGCTGAAGTTTTAATGCGGAACTATGCGATTGGGCGTACTGACAGAGCAGAGAGCACAAGAGTTTGTCGAAGTGTGATTGAGACGGCGCAGTGTGTGCGTCACCGCGTTCCGTGCATCTTCGTCTCTTGAGCGCACAACGATGTTGCTGCTCGAGCGACGCTCGTTGAGAAGCTCGCGCGCTCAGTTATCCCGCTATTACTCGTGAAGTACCGTACGCTCGAGCTCCGCTTTGCTAGGGGGAGCTCGTGCCGTCATTTTGAAGCATGGGTTGGGCACGCTATCTCTGGGCACGCTACCGGAAAGCGTACGGTCTACCAAAACACCCTAAAGCCTGGTTCAGACAGTTGCGTTTGACTGCGTTTGACTGCGTTGCGGCAGCGAGAAACCAGGACATCCCTGCTGCTTATATCGCGTGCTAAGATGATTCCTTGAATTGGAATCCGCGCTTCATACGAAGCACAGATGAGCCGGTGATTCGCTTTCCGTTCTCGACGCAACGCAGTCAAACGCACTCAAACGCAAGTGTCTAAACCGCCCTTACCGCTCATTCACACTGGAAGCGGATCCGCGTTCGCAAAGCGGTTGCAAACGCGGTTGTATAAAGATCCAGTACAATTGCACGCGCACTCGATGTCCTCGAGCGCGCGTGCAATTGTACTGAATCTTTATACAACCGCCTTCGCAACCGCTTTGCGAACGCGGATCCGCTTCCAGTGTGAATGAGCGGTTAAGGCCCGCTTCACCGCTCATTCACACTGAAAGCGGATCCGCGTTCGCAAAGCGGTTGCGAACGCGGTTGTATAAAGATGCAGTACAATTGCACGCGCACTCAATGACATCAAGTGCGCGTGCTATTTCACCTAGTGCGCGTGCAATTTCGCCCAGCAACTTTACGTCGCAACACCAGCAGCACGGACCTCCCGCATTCGCACGCAGCAGCCGAATTGCTACGACTTGCCATCATCATCAGGAAATTTTATTTTCCTTGCACTATTTAGACGCACAGTTACATGCTAAAAACATGTTTTTATATCTTTAAATTGCGTTAAAAATACAAACTCATCTTTCTGAAACAGTTCATTTCCAAAAGCGATCCATTTCAAACCAGAACCAAGTCGTCAGTTATCATAAAAAAAAAGCAAATTGGGTTACGGGGATATTTATTCACCGCATTCGGTGGGAGTTAGTACCACGAGGGCGCCACAGTATTTGGTGCCCCAGTAGACTTCCGGTAGTGTATTTATTTCTTCAGTAACACGCAGCGATCGGAAAATAAGATTTTCCTTCGGAGAGGTACCTCTAATAGGTTTGTAAGAACCTGCGCTTTGTAGAACGTAGTACAAATAACAAAAGGATGTGTGGTTAAACATTTCGACAAAAACCCCGAGACTGGGACAAAAAGGGACGGACAAACTCCACCACCAGCTCGTTTGCGCCCTTAGCTTTTGTTCAGGATGTGTGGCAAGAGGAAAAGAAGAGGAAAACCGGAAGCGCGCAGGGGTCCGCCGATAGTGGGCGGCAGCGAGCTTGTTTGCAAACAAACATTGGTGAATACAGCCAGTAGTTGGTCAGCAATTTAAAGTTGCGACAAGTCACTTGCTGTAGATGAGCAATTTAGCCAGTGCTGTACACCGCTAGCGTGGGGTCTTTAGCGTGCACCACGCAGTAGTGATACACGACCGCACGCTGGTACGATGCTCATCCAAATCGAAATGGGCAGGGGTGGGGCTCGAACTCAGGATCCCTGGATTCTGCAGCGTGAGCTTTCGCTCCACGCGCGTCGAGCTGGGTGTGCGCTTTAGCCCACTCGTTACAGGGGCCGAACCCGATTTCAGCAATTCGTGTCGATCTAGGGAAAGCTATGAAACAACCCGCCAGCAACCCCGAAAGTGCTTGAAAAGTTGCCCCGTCTGAAGCGGGCTGAATGGGTAGTATCCGTACAGTTGTCAGCCTAAATAAATATTAAGAATAAGTTTTGCATGCTCCGAAGTGGTAAGTTAGCGCGAAGATGTGACTCTGTAATGCCCTACTTGGTCGCACTGTTCAGTGCTTGGTGCTCTGATCAGTGCTGATCAGTACGCTTATCACCAGTAGACAATGCTTGGTCGCTGCAGCATGAGTGCGGCCACCGAAAGCTTTGTATTTGCCATCTTGTGCCCACAGGAAGTCAGCCTTTTGAGCATTAGGCTAGATGGCATCCGTGCTGGAAAACACATTCTTGTTTGCCATCATTCGACAAAAAATTTTCTAAAACCCTGTGGTGACTATGTTATCTTCAAGAGCATGTGGACAGTTTTACGAAAGTGCAGCATTGCAGGAAAAAGGCAGAACTCGTCAAATGCAAGTCTCATGACATGATCAGAGGACATGCCTTGGCACGCCGAAATGCTACGTCCTTGCCTTCGCACGCTTGGACACTGATAAAAAGTAGACGTCGTGTGAATGTGTTAACCATTCGGGAAGGTTTTGAAGGTGTGTCGCTTTTTACATGTCTTTGCCGCATACATATCACTCGCAGATCTCTGGATAGTCCAGCAGTTCTGTTTGGTTGCACTATGAGTGGTTGCTATCATGCGCTATCGGCAGTGTTTAAAATGTACTCGTATGGATCCGAATTACTCATGTCACCTGAAAACAGAGCAGCACAGTTATGTATGGGTTACAAATCACATTGACGCTTTTGAGCTATGCTATCAGGGGTGTCGGAAGTGGGAGATGGGGGAATCGAGAAAGATAAATTTCTATTCCCTTCCACAGATTTGGTTGCTAGAAATGTCCCGGAGGAAAAGAACGATCTCCTCCGCCGCTGTGTTCTGTCGGCACAAAATCAACTAATTGCTGGCCCACGAGTGCTGCAAGTTACAAATACAGTCTTCAGAGTAAAGTAAAACGCTGCTTCAGAGGCACATAAATCATCATACACGACAGACCTTCAGCATCATCTACACGATTTCAATGCTTGTTCAGTATGCCCAAGTGTGCAAGGGTGGAGATGCAGCACTTCAGCATTCCAAGGCATGTTCTTTGATCCCGCCGCAAGACATGCATTCAATGAGTTGTGACTTTTTTATGCCGTGCTATGTTTTCATAAAGATTTCTATGTGTTCTCAAAGGCACCTATTACCAAGTACACAAGGAAAAAAAAATTCAGCGAATGATTGCTATTAAGCCGAAAACGTGTCTTTTAGCACACTGCCGCCCAGCCTCTTAAAGGGATACTACAACGAAATTTCGGCGCTTATTTCTTGGTCTATTCGTGTTCAAGGAAGCAGTATCCCATCAGACGCACCAATCTCTTGTTGAAAAAGACACAAAAGGAATTTGAAAACGAGTTAAACGATTAGCAAAGAGCGCCCGGTGGCTGCTGCTAACGCCTCCCCGAGAATATATTTTGTGTGTCCCAAAATGCCGCTATTGTTCCTCTACAAGATTATAGAAGATTGACCCGTCACTCAAAATTCGTATAAAAGCAGCCGCCTCCGTGGCTGGAACGTCTAGGACATCTTCTCGATGTCAGCCTTGACGCAGCTTTGCTCGTCTCGAGACAAACTACGTCACGATTGCGGCGGAGGCCATGTGCTCTCCGCTGGCTGCTCTCCGAGCACTTGCCAGAGTGGGCCGTTTATAACGAAAAACACAGCCATCAGGCTCAGAATACAGACGTTTTATTGTCATTTACGGATATTGTGGATCATATTCAGCCTATTTGTGAACACGACGGGTATATTTCAAATTTCGTTGAAGTATCCCTTTAAAACGCTTTAACTGGTCAACATCCCGTTGGTACATGATGGCCGTCTGGTGGCTGCATTCGCGGAGTGGAGAAGCGTGATCTAACAATTGTCATAGAGATCAGTAAATTAATGCATTTTTTTTAATATCAAACAGCAAACTTAATTTAATCGTAAGTTACAACAAAAATATGAAACTCTTCTTTTTTTTGGGGGTCAGTATGCACACCTTTTTGTGTGAATTTAGGAAAAAAACAAAAACATTTGTGACATTTCATTTAACAGGCATAGGTAAGAAAAGAAATCTGATTTTTCTCTCATTTTTTTTCCCCAATAAAATGCTCTGATTGCCGGCCCTCAGGAACTCTATCTCATTCTTAGTCGCTTTGTTAAACCCAAGGTACATTGTGCAGTATTTAAAAATAAATAGTGCGGCACACCACGAACTCGGTGTGCCACTTACACGGGCTTGCACTTGAGCCCGTGCATTGCGAGCGCTTGCCCGTGATCATAGGTCAGTCATGCTCAAACCTTTGACGGAGTCGGACGTCTTTCATTATTGGCGGGTCTGCTGGGCCGCAGAAACCGTCCATCTTCAGTTCCACGCGAGTGAGCCCTCATCAACTTATTCCGCGTCCTCTTAGGCCCATCCTCCCTTTCTCAGCAGCACGGCCCTAATCTTGAATTATTACCCATTGCTAATCAGCTGTGGCTTTGCCTTGCAGTAACGAAAATGTCATATTCATTACAGAAAGGAAAACCGCCCTTTTTGTGCGGTTGAGTTTGTCGGGGATGACAGCGTGGCCGCTGTTCCGACGGCCTGGCTCAATGCTGACAAGACGATGTGTTCCTGGCCAAAAAACGTGCCACCGGCATCAGTGATAAAACTGGCCCAATCTCAGGCCCCACCTGGGAATGAAGAGGAGTGGCCCCTCCACCCTGTGCGGGTGTTCTCCTATTGCAGTAAGTGGTGTTTGTATGATTCCCTCGTGGCTTCAAGTTGTGAAATCTTTGCACATACCTAGGGGCATTAGTCATTGATATGATCATGTAGTATATCTAAAGGTAAACAATGTTTAGATCTGGACTGAGAGTGTAGTTTGCATATACAGGGATGCCTCGTTAATATGGACACCTCCGTTCCTTCCTAAGATTGTCCATAATGTAAGCTGGCCACATTAATAAGACAAAGGTTTATCTAGTATTTACCCAATTTGATCCCGAAAACTTTGTCTATATATATACACAAATTCAGCTCTGTTATGTCATGGTGCGGTGGTGGTGCGTTAGGCACACTTCCGGTCTGGGGCTGTGGGTGGAAGTCACCATGCGGGGCGTGCATGCCTGTGTTGTTTTAGAAGAAACCAGGCAAAAACTTGCCTTCTCGTCAAAACGCAGCAACTGAGGCTGTACCAAAACAGTTGCGAAAGGTTTGCAGATCAGTATTCATGAGTTTTCTGCCTGCTTGGTTCATCCAAAAACATGGACAGGGCTAGTGAAAAGGAAAACCAGATGGCATTGGACCACGATTGCTTGTACAGAAAGCACTTTGAGTTGAATTGGCGGATACTTATGGCCATCGAATTCATTTGTTTTGTTCCAACATGAATGTGAAAAAACGGCCAAGTTGTTTGGACCACCCGCGGACTATGTTTAGTGTGTCTTCAAGTTCGGACGGCTGCCTGATCGTTCAAACCGTTGTCTGCTCTTCCAAACGTTCCTGCTCGTTCAAATGACAGCGGCCCGTAGCGAAAACATTGACCTGGTAATTGCAATATGGAGTAAGCGCAGGCCTTCAAAAGACCTTTAATTTTGAAGGTTGGTCAAGGTAAGCAGGCTCAGTGTAAACAGTAGATACAAGATGTTGATAATTGTTATTAGTTGCCGTCACCGACTTGTTATGTCTCATTCACTTGGACTGATTCTGCTTGCAATTTTTCGTATCAACGTCAACCATCTCCGCTACAGTTCATGCTTTTGCAGCTGGAGCGACGTAATGACTGAAAATAGCAAGCAGAATCTCATCCTGCGAATCAGGCTTTAGCGTCCATTCTGCGGCGTCTACGCGGAATGAATCGCCACATGCAGTGAAACAAGCCTAGTTAATTTTGCTTAGGCTGCTAAAGTAGTCTGACTCTGCCAGGAGGCCATAGAAGCAAAAATTGCAACATAGAAAAGAGCATGGGGACACACATCGACGCCAAAAACGTAGCATTCCAATGGTTTGTTGACAGACGACGGCAAGCTTGTATTGATCATATCATGTCGTATTGCACCTGAGACTGCGGTGGAAGAAATCGGAAGAACTTTCAGTAGAAGGAACAGACACAGAGAACGTCTCAATCAGAGAGAACGTCTCAAACAGACACAGAGAACGTTCCTTCTACTGAAAGTTCTTCCGATTTCTTCCACCGCAGTCTCAGGTGCAATACGACATGATTAGCTACCACCAGCTCGCCTGCACTCTCACCGTCTTTTCACTAATTGATCATATGACTGCTTTGAGTAATTTTCACTAATTGATCATATGACTGCTGATTCCAGTCTACGTCCGGCAGTAAGACCAGGGACTACGTCCCTGGTCTTACTGCCGGACGTAGACTGGAATCCTCGTCCAGCACCAGAGCCTTCACAGCCCGACAAACCCGCAGACACGATCAAAGATGACGTCTCAGACAGGTCAGACAACCAGAGAGCCATTCGGGAGTGACCAAGAATCCCCCATTTATTGGTGCAACCATAAATATAGACAGATGAAACAAATCATATGACTTGTGATAACAGAAAGGAAAGAGTAGCTCGGAGCATTATCACAATGACATGAAAGATGCAGCACTTGATCTGTTTCAGTGCTCGATCTCACTGTGATGACTGCGAAATGCTAGTGCAGGTGCTTTGATTATTTTAGATGGTGTTGAGCTAGCCCATCGAACCTGACAGCAGCATCAGAAACTTGACTGGTAATGAAATGCGAGCTCTCTGGGAGTATGATTGCAATTGAAATTTCATAGTCAAAAATATGTATCATGTGGCGATAGAGCAGCGCTTTTACGTGCACGTTTTCCCTCACAGTTGCCATAGCACTGTCAGCAGCCAGTGTAGGAAACGAGCGTGAGCCTGGAGTATCTCTGTTCTTCAAAAAGCCGTAGTCTTGCACTGCACACGCACGAAAGGGAGCGTAGCACTTGCTAGGTTGCCATGTCTGTATTGAGTGACACACGTTTACATGTTCCCGCTTATAGGTCTTATGAAAACCCGTTAACACACAGATGCATTTGACTAGGACCGACTGAGACAAGACTGATTTTTTAAGCTTCTTGCGAAGGCCTATGACCGGCAGTCCAGCAATGGCAGCCGGTCGTAGGCAGTCGCAAGAGGCTAAAAGCTGATCGTGTCTCATTCATTCGTAGTCAAATGCAAGTGCGTGAATGGGGCTTTACATACAATGGACAGATTTGAAGCTCGCAAGCAGCAGCTAAAGTTGCTTCGGCTACTCCTAGTGCACGCCATTTCAAAGTTGCACTCGCCCTACAAATGAAAGTGTCACCTTATGCGGCGAAAACCTGAGTGAGAGGAGAAGACGAGGTTGGATGGGGATGTCAAAACGCTGAACTCTGGTTGGAATGATTGATGCGTAGGTCTAAAGCTAGCTATCTTTGTCTCAACTGCACTCGTCGAACACATCAGAATGGGAATGCCAGCGTCCGGCATTGGGCTTTCAAATTCAAACCTGTTTGATGAGTGCAGTGGAGATAAAAACAGCTAGCTTTATTTCTACCACTAATCATTCCAACCAGAGTTCAGTGTTCCGACGTCCCTGTGAGCTCTCGTCTTATTCTCTCAGTCATTTTCTAAACACATAAACCCCAATACACTACTAAGTGCTTCAGTCATGGGTGTTTATTCTCTCGGCATTGCTGCTTTTTGAGCCATAGTTAATTTTGCTCTGTATAGATGTTTGTGGAATCGCGACAACTGATTGTGCAGCTGCAGATGTTTTGCATTTCTTCTGACCATGACTGCATATGGGGCCTTTGCATTAAATTTAAGAATGATGCAAGCAACAGTGCGCTTCTCATGCTAGCAGCAGACACCACACTGTGCTGTACCTAAAAAAAAGTATTTGAAGCCTTTACAAATGCTGATCTTGAAAGAGTGCTGCTATCAGGCATTGCCCCCAAATGCCAGTTTCCCGGCAGAACACTACAATAATATATCCTTTTGGTATTGTAGGCTGTGAAAGGAACCATATCTAGAAAATTGTAAATTGGTTTTAGTGATTTTTTGCTCTGTTATGGGTTGGCATTGCAGTATTGTAAACCAGGTTTTGCACGAGCTAAATAATTAGTGGGTCTGTATCAATTTGCTTTCTCTTAAAGAAACATACAAGAAGGCCAAAAGGAAGGCCACCGAGGATCTCGAGAACTCGTGCTTGGAAAGCACAGATGTCGGGGAGCCCGATGATGGAGGTATGTTGATCATAGCAATTTAACATTTTCAGCAGAAGAAATGGTTCTTTGTTTAACCTAATTTTATTCTGATAATATGTCTGTTCTAGCCACTGGGAAAGACAACACGGCCGACGCTCCTCTGCGTCTCTCAGTGCCCATTCCACGTGAGTTAGCCTACAGTAAAGAAAAATATACAGTGTAATCCACTTATAACGATACCAGATATAACGATATATCGCTTATAGCGATCAAATTTTTTAGATTTGATCGCTATTTTTTTAGATTTGATTTGATCCAGATATAACGATAATCGGCTATAACGATTGGATTTTGCGGTTTTCTCAATATCGTTATAAGTGGACTGCACTGTATTTCATATTTTTTTACCTTGCGAGAGACACTGACAATGTATTTACACTTGACATTGATTTTGCAGCTACTGGCCCGGGAGGTGCCTGTGCAAGGGGTAAGTGTCCTTGCTTTATTTCCACATGTTTTACACATGAGAATCTACACGTTATTCATGAAGGTTCAAATTTATCTAGAACTGTAAAAAGTGATTCCTCCATTTGACTTTAGAAAACAGCTAATTTGAATTGGGATTTTAAGATTTTGTTATTTGAAAGATGCTCGTGGATGCAAAACTCCTCTTTTATGTGAGTATAAGCAAACAATAATTTATGAAATTAAAGAGAGTTTGTTTTACAATCACGCCTAAACCTTTCTGATGTTCCATTTTGGCAGTATGGCAGCAAGAAAAAAAAAAGGGGGGGGGGGGGGTTCATGCCTTTTGCATTGCATTGCATTCTAAACGAGTAGATAAAAGTTGTCTAAGATTTTAGAAAGAAAAGGGGCACTCTGGCCAAGCCATAATTGCCCATGTGGAAAGTAAATTGTGATACTTTTCTCCAGCCCCTCCCAAGCGCAGGGCCCCAGACCCTCCATCCAGTAAGGGGTGGTCCAAGGAAAGTCGGGCTCCTACATCTCGTAAGTTTCACAGTCGGCTCTTTCCAATGATTCACAGATAATCTAGACTGACATAGGAAAGTTGTATATTTAACCCGCTTGTTTGTATTTCTAGAGATATCACATACAAGGTTATCAGCTATTTTTTAAATGTTCAACAAACTGTGGCTAGCATTAATCTGCTTCGCTCACTGATCTCTACGATAATTGCTGGATTGCGCTTCCCCGCTATTCGAATGCGGCCACCGGTTGGCCATCGTGCCACAGGTAATCAACCTTTTGGAGCGCAGCGAGGCTGGGCGGTAGTGTGCTGAAGATATGTTTCTGCTCGTTCGTTATCATTTGCCGTAGAATTTTTTTTAAACCTGGTGTAACCGTTGACAATTACCTTTAAGAACGCGTGGAAAGTTTTACGAAAGTACAGCACTGCAGGAAAAAGGCACAACTCGTCAAGTGCAAGTCTTGTCGGTGTCGCAACGTGATCAAAGCTTCCTTGGCACGCCGAAGTGCTGCATCTCTGTGCCTTCGCATCCTTGGATACCGGTCAAGCTAACAGCTTGGTGCTACTCAAAGATCAGACTTCACCGCCAGGCAAGGCGGTTTATAGAGCACAGCGCAGGCCTAATCATAACATCCAGTAACATTCATACTGTAATTTTCATGGGTCAGTAAAGAGTCTAACCCGGAAAATTTTTTTATGTGCTTCATTATATAACAAGCTTAAAGTGTTGCGTTCATTGGAACTGCTGAATGCCTCAAATAGCACACTTTATTTTGTTTATAAAAATAATTGGATATAAACTTACTGCTAACTGCTCTATCCTAACCTCATACGATTACTCATGAATTCCACCACCTCGGTAAGTGCCCACAAGAAAGCCTCCCTTCAACCACCGCTGCCGCCCCCCCTCGTCTGTCGCCACTGCATCAGACTTATCTGGACCACGAACGCCGCAATTTACAAATGCCGTCGAGACCGGTTATAACGAAGTCAACGGGAATCGAAAATCACTTCGCTGTATCCGCTATTTCGTTATAACTGACTTTGGTTAACGAAGTGTGAAAGGGAATGGGAAATCGAGATTGCTTTGATGTAGCCGCTATTTTGTTATAACCGGTCTCGACACTACAGTCACCACAGTAAAGTAAAACACTGCTCCAGAGGCACGTAGATTTTCACGCACGTTGCACATGCAAAACACATCAACACGGCGTCGATTCTTGATCGCTATCCACGTGTGTGAAGGCACAGAGATGCAGCAGTTTGGCATACCAAGGAAATTTCTATCATGCCGCTAGACCGGCTAGACTTGCTTTCAAGGAGTTGTGCTTTTCTCCTGTGGTGCTGGACTTTTGTACAAATTTGCTCATGTTCTCGAAGGCCAACGAAGGTCACCATTTACGCCAGGTTTTAAACAACCTCTACGACGAATGACAATAAGTAAGCAGAAAACGTGTCTTCAGCACGCTGCCGCCCACCCTAGCTGCGCTCTGAAAGGTAGATTTTTTGTGGCAAGGAGACTGTGCGGTGGCCGCATTTGTGCTACAGCAACCAAGCGGGGATGCGCGATCCAGCAAATTGTCAGAGATCAGTGGCTTCACTCTTGAGCTGCTATACCTCTTTCATTCTGCATGTAAGGTTCTTGTAACAATTGTAACTGTTGGAATTAATGATTTGATGAGCATAAATGAGACAGCTGAGATGTTTCCCCTTGTCCACCGTCTGATACAGCCAGTGTTATTAGTTTAAAGGGATGGTGAACCGAAATTTGGATTTCAGAAAAAACAATGCAGGAAATGTAGGCGGGACGCTACAATCCCTACACCACTACTCGTAAGGCGATATCTCGAATGGATGGCCGTATTTTTGGAAAACGAGGTCCAGATTGAACTAGGCCGACGAGGCGCGTGACATTACTATACCGAGTTTCCTCCTCTCTCCGCTTCGCTCCCTCAAGGCTGTGAGGCAGAGAAGACGCGAGGCCGTTCCCTCTCCTTCTCGGAGAAACATGACGACATCATCTCTGTCAAATGCGCCTCCTTTTCTTGAAAAATTTGGTCATCCGTTCAAGATATCGCTGCATGAGTGGTGTTTTGGTGTTTGTAGCATCCCATTGCACACTTTTACCGCGTGTTTTGTGGAATCAAAATTTCGGTACAGCATCCCTTTAAAGGGGTACTGCAGCAAAATGCCTAGAGTCTATTTTACGGTTTAAATACCAAGCACATTTTGACCACACCACAAAGATGCCAATTTGTAGTTTCAATTGACACCAAAAAACTTGTTAAAACGAAAAAAAAAATAAAAAAAAAATTTATTACCAGATTACACCTGGTGGATGCTTCCGAATGTTAAGTAAAACTTCACATAAAAGCAGTGCCACTCCCTAGAGGTATTGTGCTAAGCTCTGAGCGTGCATAGACTGTTAAACTTGGCGGAACTGAACTTCCCTTCTCTCCCTTGGCGGAACCGAACTTCCCTTCTCTCCCGTGCCTATTCAACTTCTGCGGGAAGTGGGCCTCTTGAACCGCCAGATTGTAACATGTTGACACTACCAAGTGGCACAGTTCACAACCACACCAGCCTCCTTGTAGCCTTGCCCGCGAAGTTAAACTTTACATCACGAGCGCGCTGTAGGTGCTGGATTTCTCAAGAAGCATAGTGCTCTCCGACGGCTGCTCTCGATGGAATTGGCTGTTTGGAGTGCTTGCTGGAATTGGCTGTTTGGAACGAAAAATATAAGCATCTGTTAAAAATACTAATGTGTGATTGTCATTAGCTGACTTCAGTGATTACATTTAACTTCTTTCTTAACGTGAGAAGTATATTTTAATTTTCATTTCAGCATCCCTTTAAAAAAGGCTGTCTATAACGGCATTTGTGATGACACGTTTCACATGCACATTTTTTTGGCAGACTGCAGAAAATTTGCTGTCGCCTCCTATCTGCTGCCTCCGGTCATTCATAAAATTTTTTGCTTGCCTCGAAAACCGTTTATAAAAGAAGTCACCAAGCTTAAGCTTTGGACACCTTATGCTCATTTTGGAAGTGGAGCTGACAAGCATACTTTGCCTCCCAAAAAGGTGTGCATTTGAAACGTATCTGTCAGATTTCTTGACATTGACTGCCCTTGAGATGTTGGGCAGAGATGGACACTGGCTGTGCCAAAATGGCTGATATGTAGTTGCTGAAAAGTGTGAATGACTTGTGTGACGAGTTGAAAGACCTTAATCTGAGACTAAAACATACTTTACCACAGCCCTGGCAGAGCGGCAAGCCCCCAGAAGGCGGAATTTGGAGGCAGCTGAGGTGGTTGAGGCTACCATGTCCCGTAAGCATACCAGATGTTTCATTACGATCACTGCTTAATATTGACCTGACCAAGTTTAGAAGACTGGCACAATCACATCTGTACATTTCATTTTTCCAATGCCCTTAGTATGGCATTAAATGCCCATACTCTCGATATAGTTCGACCACCAAAACAAAACCTGCCTATCACTCGTAATGCTCTGTTTTACATTTCAAGAATGAGATGTTTGATTACCTGTTAAGAACAACATGTTTGACATCTTTACATGAACCGGTCATTGCTGATATCTACATAATCTCACTTCAACATGAATTGCAAGTCCCCTTGCTTTAGAAATAGGCCTTGACTGCATGAATCCTTGTGCAGCAGAAGCACCTTTGAAACCTTAACGTGAATGGCATGCCTTCTTGCTTTAGAAAATGTGCCTTGGCTGTATGAATCCTCGTGCAGCAGGGGCACCTTTGAAACCTATCTGTTCATACTTCTAGCTTTGCATGAGACCAGTTCTGCCTTTTGAACATTGATGCTTGTCATGATGGCAGTTGCACTGTGGCACCGACAGGTGGCAGCGGCGGGGGTCTTGTTAAATAAACGTTTTGAGGCCCAAGTCAGGCACTCGGTGCTTACACCAAAACAGGAGTGTTGGACATGCCTCGACGTGGCCTTGCCATAAGTCTGCAGTTATGGCAATACTCCGTATACAAATGATCATACTCCAGAATCACAAATTGAAGACCTCTCATGCTCCTAAGCAAAAAATAAACAAAATCGTTATGAAAGGGTAAGTATTGCCAACCTGAGCAAAGTGTACATCAAAGCATCCTAGTTGCGACATGTCATTTCATCAACTCTGAGATAAAATAGTTTTCCATATGTCCAACGGTTGCGACCTCTTTATCAGTCGCATTGATATCAGTATCTTAAGGAACCCCAACGTCCGTCGGTATCAGTGCCTTGAGGGACCCCAAAGCAGATTTTGTACAGATGATGCCAGCAATCGCTTACATCAGTAAAAAATGTCGGTGACTGTGCAAGTAAGCACACACATTGGGCAGCAGGTGGCACCATTTAGCCGGCAGTAGTGGCGGCGGAGAAAGACTTGCGACCTTAACCCCTCCGCCACTCTGGGCTAGGTGGGGCAACCTGGTGCCCATAGCTTGGGTTGATTTGCATGTTCAAGCTAGCTGTTTTATTTTTATTATCAGTGACAGCTGTTTTATTTTTATTATTCAAATATCTAAAAAAAACTAGTGCCTGATTAAGAAAAGTGACTTATGTTTAGCTTGTTTTAAGAAGCTTACCTATTGTGTTGAAATCTTGTGGAGTGATGAGGCTGTTTCCTATGCTCTATTTCACCTTACACAAGACAGTAGTAGATGCTATAAACCATAATCACCAGTCCAGTGCCACAACGTATCATGAGGCTGCGCACCTTCAGGGACGCTGTGCCCCTTCCGAAGGTCTTGTGACGAGAGGTGAACTTAACATTTTGCCACCCTAGGCCTTCAACAGTGCTGCCCTCAAACCTCACCTCCCCCCCCCCAAACCCTGCTTTCCATGGTTACTGGCCAAGGGGAGTGGTTGGGGGGTGGGGGGGGGGGGGGGAGTAGCTAAATTTGGGGATATCATTTTCAAATATAGCTATACTCGTTTCACCTCAAGAAAAAAAATGAACTTTTGCACATTACTCATACGCTGCAAGTAGTAGTTCTCATACGATTTCGTTGTCAGAGGAGGCAGCAATGCTTTTGGCATTTGAAATGTGTACGGCTCCATAAGATAATATATATTTGATGTAAAATGTGCCTGCGTGTATCTTAATTCTCTACATAAAGGGGGAAATTAGTAATGATCCGCTAGGAGCCGGACTTTTTTTTACTGTGGTCCTTGAGGTGATAACGGGTACAGATTTGGAGCTGGAATTTCTAAAGTAGCTAAATTTGAAACTACAATCACGTCTATGATTTGTAGGTTTCTGGTCTCTCGGAAGGTGGAACAAAGTATAATTTATTGCTTGGACGTAAACAATATGTGCGACGAAAGATCCACTGGCAGGACGGCCTACATTTGCTGCCATCAATTGCATAAGGCTTGGAAATATTTTTTTGAGCTATAATTTTTTTTTATCATTGTTTTTTTTTCTTTTTAGTCTTAGGTGAAGTGTTGTTTTCAGCACGTTTCCTTCGTAGATCTCTGACCACAAGAATTTTCTTTGCCTCTATTTTAGCCTTCCAGTCGGAGCTTCTGAAGGTGGTGCTGGATGTGCGGCACGAGGTGCACCTTCTCCGCCAGGACACGGCGCAGGTCCTGGCAAACCAGGAACAGCTGGCAGTGCGCATCGCTCAGCTTGAGCGTGCGAACTGCCCGCCTGATGCCCCAGTGCCGCCAGCGGTTTTTATTTTACCGCTGGCGACAATGGTAGATTTTGAGGCAGCAGAGAGGCGCCTCATCAACCCTGCTGATCAGGCTGTCCTGGTGAATATCAAACTTTTTTTCACTATATGTTAGTGCCTTGTGGCTCAACCGGTTTGAGAAATGGAGCGACGGCATATGTTCAACTGCTTCGTATCTAAACTTTACCAAAATGTTAGCTTAACCATTATCTCTATTTAGTCACAGACAGCCACTTATTAAGGCAGCATTACGATTGAAGATATGGCCTTATTGTTCTCACACCTCTACATACTTTTGAGTCAAGAACAGGGGCATATAGAATGATTAAGGGCAATCAGTGCTCGCTGGAAAGTATAAAATGAAGGGAAGAAGGCAACAAGAACATCAAGAACAGCAGGGGCCAATTACCTGATCTATTAATTACTTTCAGTAAAAGTCTGGATCGATCTTCAGTATGATGAAAATGCAATAATTGCAGAGGTGGAAGCTAGCTGGACAATAACAGTAGTAACTCTGGAGAAAAGGTATGGCGACAAAAGACAAACACAAATCTCCAAATGCAGCTAGGTGTGTTTCGAGATATGTGTTTGTCCCTTTTTTTCCCTTGCTCCCCTTCTTCAGGGTTTATTTTCATTAGATCTTCCGTACTCTCTTTTATATAATAGTGTAGTAAATACTGTCAACAGAGTTAATGCAATTTCACATTACCTTTTCACTTAGGTGAGATGGATGCCATACCATAGTCAGTTTTCATCTTACTCATATTAAATGAACTGTGATTCTTAAAGTGCAATATTTTTTTCTTTTATTCGTGTAGAAGGAGCAGCTCTCCGGCCTGGGTGGCACCACTATCGCGGAGGCTGTGCGGCGCACCCTGGAGCGGCTCCTGCGGAAGCATGTGCAGATGCACTTCAGCATCTGCGGCCGCAGGGGCAACAAGCGGCCGTTCAGGGGCACGCAGCTCTGTGCCGTGGCCGTTGGTAAGGTGTTTTCATTCCACACCTTCATTGCTAATTAAAAATGATGGGAACTTTTTTCTTTTAATTTGTCAGCTGCCAAGAATCTGAAGAATTACTGGATCAGTTTTAAGCAAAATTTGTGGTTTGTAAACGTGCGCGTAAAGTGGCAAGAGTATTTTCATATAATTCCTGAATAAGTGTTTGTAAAGCAAGCACTTTCTTTATCATCATGGTTAGTCATTTCCCCTGATTTTCTAATCAAGTCGAGGCTTTTCCCTTCTGGCTAGTGATCTTAGGCGGTGAGCTGATGTTTCAAGTAATGCACCATGTTAGTGGTATTGCTATGGAATCTGGATTATGAAAAACTTAATCTTTCAGGGACTCTAAACAAATTGCACTGAGTTGAAAACTAATACTTAAGATTGAAAGAATAACACGCAAAGGACAAACGACAAACACAGGACAATTACGAAAGAATGTGGTTGTCCTGTGCTTGTCCTCCACATTTTATTTTATTCTCTCAATTTTAAGTATTGTTTGTATATACGGTAGAGCCTCATTCATACATTCCCAGTTAAAAATTATTTCGGCTGTTACAGTCGGGAACTGCAGTCCTGTCGAACTCTCATGGGGTTACCTGTTTTAATTCTGTTTCTTATGTTTGCCTTTTCAACTGTTACACCTCTTTTTCCTTTTGCCTCTTCATCTCTTTGTCCAGCACGCATGCCCTCTTCTGTCATTCACAGCGGCTTAGGTCCCCTGGTCGCACAAATTTAATTTCACATGGAGCTCAGAGTTCATAATCATGCACTGCCCATGGTGCGCGTGCATGAAGCTTCATTGCTTTGCAGTGGCTGGTGAGAGCAGCGTCTGGGTTCTCTCAAACGGGGAATACATTAGCTTATTCTTAGGTTAGCAGATTAATATTGGTGTTGAAATAACATTCAGCACTGCTGGCAATGCCTAAAGCTATCTCTGAATTGTGTGTGAGCAGGAAAAAGTGGGGTCATATGCAGTGATGTCATTATAGGGTCGCGTGGCCCGCCATGACACCCCCCCCCCCCCCCCCCCGAGCGCTGCACCTAAGGTGTTGCCCCCCCCCCCCCACCTTTCCCACTTGCGAGTTGTGAATGCGAAAGCATGCAAGCCACTCGTCTCGTACACTCCCCCCCCTCCCCCACCCTTCCCTCTTGTGACACCACTGGTCATGTGCAAAGTCGGTGCTTTTCACTGAGTTGGTGCTGTGATGTATGTGTGAACAGGCCTTTGTAGACGAACACATGGCTTTGATGCCACGCCACCGCAGTGACGCTGTTGTCAAAATGGTGCGTGCACAAACGCCTCACCTCACAGGAAGCTCATTTCCGCGCATGCACAGTGCCTACGTTTAATGTTGCCAAATGCAGGCTTGTTTAAAACAGCGCATTGGTCTATAGGTCGACCTTGTTTGGTTATGATTACAGATCAACTCCTACTGGTAAAGAACAGTTTCCAGCAAATGGTTAACCTGTTTAGAATAAATATGGTAATTCTTTCTCGGCAGCCCTAAACTCGACTTGGAATAAATTACTGCACCATAGTTTCCCCCTGTTTCTATAGGCCCCTAATGCATTTTGTGACTTGCTTTGTGGCGTGCATAACATTCGCTTCTGCTGTTTTTTTTTTTTTTCTTTTTCTCCAGCTATAATCCGGAGCCGAGTGGGAGGCAGCGTGGTCGACGTGGAGCGTGCCATTGGGGACTACTTGTCTGGGGCCCCGGATCGCGAGGGAGGCAGGGCTGAGAGGATGGCCAAGAAGATTCAAGACGCGGCCATCCTCTCAGCCCAATTCGTCACTGTCCTGCCCAGCAGCCTGCCAGAGGGTGACTTTGACGTCCACGCTGACATCCTGGACAGCTCACAGACGTGATGTCAAGCATGACAAAAACGAAAATTGAAAATAAAGAAATAAAAGAAAAAACATTGTTCTGAGTCTTCTTTCTCGTGCATTCCATCCACAAACTTGTAGCGAAATGGAAATGGCAGACTTTAAATTGTTTTGTTCTGTTGCGATTTATCAACTCATGAGGACATTGCGAAACATCGAATTGAACTAGGTAATTGCAAATGGGTTTTGTCCACTATCATATTTCTTGATGCAAAGACTCATGTAATGCAAGCTTATCAAAGGGTACAAATCGGGCCTCCCAGGATGCTTGCAAGGTTTGCTCACAGCTAAGTGAAATGGGTCCTTGGCAATGGACCGTGTTTATACTAAGCTCGTTCAATTTACCTGCACCTTTTGCACTGGTGCAGAAAAGTGTAGGGCAGAGCTTCTGGTGTGTGTATTGAGATACCACTGAAAGCACCACCCTGCACTTTTATGCACCGGTGCAGGTAAATCGACCGAGCTTTACTGTACAGCTGAGATTGGCTGACGACTGAACTGCCACCCTGGCCCGAGCTACATTTTCACCGTATTGCCAAGCTTGGCTGACTGCTGAAATGCCATCGTGGCCCAGGTTGTATTTACTCCGTTTGGCCAAGCTTGGCCGACCGCTGAACTGCCACTCTGGCCCAGTCCGTATTTACACAGTTTTGCCAAGCTTGACTGACCACTGAACTGCCAGCATGGCCCAGGCTGCGTTCAGACCGTTTTGCCAAGCTTGGCTGACCACTGAACTGCCAGCCTGGGCCTGGCTGTAGAGACGCCATAGAGCCAAGCTTGGCTAGACAAGGAACCCCCACTGAACTGCCAGGGTGGCTAGCCAGGCTGGGGATAGCTTGCCCCTTGGAGCAAAATGGTGCTTGGACCGGGGAAACTTTCCCCGGCTGCCCAAGCAGGCTCAAGCTTGAACCAGGGAATTGTGCTGCTTGGGAGGTCTCATTGCATCCAAGGGCCGACGAGGTGGACGTCGTGAGGGTCGGTGCCTTAAACGACTTAATGACAAACCACCTGACGGACTGTAGCCGCAGGGCCAGGAAGCGGTTAGACCTGCTGGCTGCGAAGGAGGCCACGTCTGCGAAGGAGGCTACGTCTGCATGAATCTTTTTTTTTTAACCTAGAATTTTGCGATGTCGTTTTTTTATTCTCGTTATGGCAGAAATAAAAACCTAAACTGGATTTATACAAGTTCACATGAAAGTTTAATGCGGCAAACTTGTGCCGATAAACCGAAAAGGAAAAAGACACGATACATGATTTGACGGCGACGGATAGGAGACTGCCCTCAAGCAGCCACAAGAATCTGCTTCTGTTAGTATGTGTGTATCTAGAACATTCCGCCTGGAATGTTGGCCCTATCAAACTTTCCGAGTTTGAAGAAACAACGAGATTGTCGATCCATCTGGAACATTCCAGTCACGCAAAGAAACTAAAGATAAAAAAGAACTAAACGCTGGCAGAATTCGAACCCTGGCCAGCGGCAAGGGAGTCGAGCGCGCTGCCGACTTGTGAAATGTCTTGTTTGCTTTTTAAAACAACCCCCGGCACTCTTTTTTACCCCATACACTTCTTTTTCCTGTATATATACTCAAAGCTTCCTCTTATTTGTACCTGCCCAGTTATTGTTTATACTTTAAGTTTCTCAAAGTATTCAAATAACTGCTTCACTGCCATCATCGGCAGCACCACGTTGCATTTTATGGGATTTGTTATCTTTAAAAATGCTATGGATGGACTGTTACGTTTGGTTGTGCAAATTGTTTCACTGTTAGCGATCCTGTGAAGTGGAAATTTCGGGTCTATATAGACCAACCGATTTAATGGTTACGGAATCGTCCAGCATCTGGTAAACATTCACCAACCACGGTTCACAGGCTTCCTCTAAATGCCTTCCGTTGACGTCCGAAAAAAGAAAGAAAAAAACACGGTAAATTCCGGCCAATCTGGTGATCTTGCGGTAAATTCTGGCTTTACTGGAAGTGAAAAGAGTCCCATAATCCAGTAAAATAGATTTTAACTGCAAATACACTTCTAGTTAAAACCCGGTGAAATTCTGGTAAAAATCTGGTGACATTCTGGTAAAAATCCGACGACATTCCTGTAAAAAAAAATTGGTGACATTTCAGTAAAAATCCGATGACATTCCGGTAACCTACGGCTTCACTGGAAGTGAAAACAGTTCAATAATCCAGTAAAATAGTCTTTTAGTGAAATGACATCCCGCTAAAAAATATTTTTTTCAATCGGGGTAGGTCCTTGAGCAAGGACTTGCTCGTCACTACGTCAACGAAGCGGGCATGCGGAAGCGTGTCTAGAACAAAGATAAAAATACACGACAAAGGTTTGCCCTGGGAAAATTTTGTTGACTAACGTTTTGTACGTTCACCTAAATATCTTTGTAAACATTATGTATTCTACTTTTTAAAGCAATCTTGTTTGCCATTTACACTCTCTAGCATAGGCGTAGACTACGGGGGCATCGGGGCTTCTGCCCCCCTGGTGAAATCCGTAAAGGGGGGGGGCAGGCGCCCCCCCCCCCGGCTTATGGTCCTTACCGAGACGTGATTTGCGTGCCATGTAGCGAGCTTCTAGTAGTGGCAAGTGATATTCTGGAGCCGCAGGCTTTATTTCCATGTATTAAAGATAAGAGACTCGTGGCCGAGTGGATTACTGCTTCAGAAGCACAGGGGCCTGGGCTCTACCCCCCCCCCCCCCACTTTGCAGCTGGCACAAGCTTTTTGTTTTTCAGATTTGTGCTCGCCGGCGCATGCGCCGTGGCACCGACGATGAACACACGGCTACGCTTTCACGGTGATTGACATTGACACACAGCGACAGACACATGGCGATATACATACGCTGTAAAAGTTAGCGCCTAAAATAAACTACTGATAATTAGAAAAGAGTCAAAGTACAGGCTAGCTGGTGGAAGTCAACCATTTCGTCGTTTACCCTGAGACTGGGTGTTTTTGAACAGCAGAAGTAACAGAAAAAACAAACTGATAATTGCCGGTGTAAAAAAATTGCGCGGAAAAACACCTCCCCCCCCGCCCCCCCCCCCCTCCCCCTTCGGAGAACTTCTCAGCCGGTCACCCTCCCCCCGGGAAATGGGAAAGTCTACGCCGCTGCTCTGTAGAACACTGACATATATGTGAAACGCCCATTCCCCTTGCACCAGGCTTTCGCCTTCTTCGATGGGGTTTTGGAAACATGTGGTATAGATGCCAGGGTGGTTCGTATGGATCTGTACCACGTGCCTGATCATGCTGCACCAGGCGTCCACGAGGAGGTCAGCGTTGCACTGGCTAACTGCGGCACATCAATACCTAAGGTTTACTCCTGGATGAGCCCAGTCAGAAATCGATCCGCAGTCATGGCTCTTGCCTGCAACATTTAGGTTCTTGACGTCTGCAAATTGATGAGTCCTCAAAATAAGCTGTAGATTTTTTTTCTAATAGCCGGTCTACAATAAAATGTTCACCACCTTACACAGAAAGCATATTTGTGCCCTTTATGAATGACGCCTCTGATCATTGGGCTTGAATTAAATTTATTATATCATTTCGATTTTTATTACAAAATCTCAGCCCATGCTAGAACAGAGGAAGCAATATCTGTCAGAAAAGGACAGGGGGTAAAAAGTGATATAACTTCATAGCTTTGACCGCATTTTGAACTCATTTGTTTCGTAAAGCAAGCTTTAAATGAGGAAATAAATAATCAATACAATCTGCAATGCAAAGTAAATAAGAATATAGCAGTCCTTTCGCCACAATTTAAAACCACTTCAGTTTTTCTTTCAGAAAGCCCTATAATGCAAACATACTAATCTACCTTACAAACAAAATGTAAATGCCTTTAGTTATTCTAGACAAACACTGGTCGCAGATATAGCAAGGACACCTTGTTAGGAAGGTCTCTAATGTTGTGCATTGACACTTGGTGACAAACCTGTCTGTCTGTCAAAAAGCGAAAGATTTCTCGAGTCGAATCAAGCGAAACACTGCTTCAGCCTAGTTTTTTTTTGTTTTCTTTTTTTGTTTTGGGCAGAAGCGTAGATTGGCGAAGTTGAAGTGGGTTTTAACATATGATATTTACTCTTTGAGACGTGCCAGACGTCGAAGTAGGGTAGAATGGCCGGTTTTTTTCCCTCATGTGCTTTCTGATGGAACGGTGCTTGTCTATCTCCAGAAAATGTACCGCAAGTTGGCTGTCCTTTGTGAAGGCAGGAAACCGCATTATAATTTCCTTTTTTTTTTGTGCCCGCTGTAGCGCACCGCTTCGCACTGCATAGCTCCAGTAAAGTGGCGCAAGTAGTTTTTCAGTTTCTGCATTGGTTATCACATGTACTTTACGTAATCAGATATTCTGCCGCCTCACAAGTTCTGCACTTTTTTGCTTTCAAAATAAAATACCTTCGGATATCTAGCTTTTGACAGAACTCTCATTTCACAGCTTGACTCTAGTTTTAGAGCCTTGTCACGTCAGTAAGTCCGTGGATCACGTTGACCTGCTAAATTCCCTTCTGATATATATAGGCAAAATTGTAGAAATTCATTCAAAAGACAAAAAAGGCGTGCAGATGACTGCAGGATGGCCATAAAACCAGACACAAAATTGTACTTTTTTTCATATTAATCCCAACAAGGACAAGCGTTCATTTATTATAATAACAGCGATTAATCAAAAGTCAATGAGCTCTGCTTTTTCCACAATAGCACTGAATTACGTTGCTCAGCCGCAAAATGTTTCAGTAGAACTAGGTGTAGTCGAAGGCTTCAATATGCATCTGTTTACAAAGCTACTGTAAGGAGGTGATAGTAATCATTCCTCACCTCTCCTACTTGACTTCGCTGAAAGGGCAGGATCTTATTGACACAGGACATGTGCACCGAAGAGGTCAGGTATTTGTTCCTGAAGCCAGGAGAGTCACAACTCCCTTCACCAGCGAGGTCGAGAGCCTGGTCGCAGAGCTCTTTCATCAG